AATTGCCGCTGCTGAAAGCCCGCCGTCCGATCTACCACATCGATGAACCATATTTAACTATGATTCCCCAATGATTCTCCAAGAAAGACAAAACAGTAGCGTCCTAAAATGGATTCTCGGTCCAGTATAGAGATGGGGGAGGTCTGATGCTGAAGAAGGGGGGAGTATTTTGCCTCCAAACTTTTCATGAGGTTTGACAAAATTGAGAGAGAATGAGATTTTTTGCCTAGAAATTTTAGATTAAACATATTTAAAAAAATTCCACGAGTAATGAAAATTTTTTGCCTCCAAATTTTTTGTGATGTTCGAGAGGGAATGGAATTTTTTTGTGAAGTTTGGGATATATCAATTTTTAAGGTTTGAGAGGCAATTTTTTTATAAAGAATAATTCTTTTTTGGAATAAATTGGAAGGAATTGAAAAATATTTGAAAAAATAAAGTGATAACACTTTATTTTTTCTAAGTTTTACAATTCTCTCTAGTTTCTTTCAACTTCTCCCAATTTATTTCAGTTTTGAACTTTGCAATTCCAACTTTCGATAGATTTAGTGAACAATCATGACTGAGTTAAATGGGATACATTGAATTAAATGTGCATTCTGTTAAAAAAAAAAGTTATATATGATCTAATCAGATTTGATGAAATCTGATTTGATTACCACAATGTGAAATTCTATTTTGGGAAAAAAACATGAAGGTCCTATTTTGGTACTTTCTCTATGTTTTAGTTCTATTTATAGTGATTTCTTATCTAATATTGTAGTTATGTACAAAGTTATTTCTGATCAAACCAAATTAGATATATTTAGCTACAAACTAATCAAATCATACCAGATTAGATCATCAGATCTAATTATAGTTATATTTAAAACTGTTTCTAATCTGATTTGATGAGATTTGATTCTATTATACTCCCTCCGTCCTAAAACTTTCTTCACAGTTTGACTTTTCTCCATTTTTAATTTTTGACTTTGACTTCAAATTTTACCATTCTTAAAAAAGATTTTTTTGAAATTTTTTTTTCAATCATTCAAAATATAGAGTTAAAAGATAATTGGTGTAAATACATGAGGGTATTAATGTCATTTGTCATCTTTTTTTATCTAATGGGAAGGTAGTTTTAGGACGGAGAAAAAGGGGAAGTGAGAAGAAAGTTTTAGGACGGAGGGAGTATGATCTAACCTAATCTAATCTTATTGTACTTATACGTAAAGTTATTTATGATTAGATCAAATTAGATATATTTAGATACAATCTAACCAAATCATATCAGATTAGATTTGAAAAAACTTTATATATAATTACCATTATTTTAGATTAGATCTCATCAAACCAGTTCAGACCATATCAAACTGTTTCTAATCTTATCAGATCAGATCTAATCAGTGACTTGGGATATAATGAGTCACCTAGAGAGAGACATATATTGTTGAACAAACATATACTAGTATCGATATGGGTAGGTACTGGTGAGTTGACTTATAAGCTACTTAATTATAAGTTAGAAAAAATAAGTATATTTTAGGGAAAAAGACCAAAGTAGGACTAAAACATTGAAAATATATCAAAATAGGACTTTTATTTTTTTATTCCCCAAATTGGACTTACATTATCAAACATGGTCAT